TTTGGTTTTGCATGTGTTAACAAAATCTGACTCCTTGTGTCATAGTGGCTCGCCCTTCTCATGCTCGTGGGTGTGCGTACTGCTGTGGCTGTCTCAAAGCGCTGTGCACGCTGGCTGGGCTGGCTGCTGCTACCCAGAAAAATTGCAATAGCTGAGTTCTACCTGCCTTCCCTCCATTTGAATCAGAAATGAATCTCTAAAACCTGTCTGGTGCCTGATCTTGTGATTCAGGGTTATTTATATAAGATTTTCTTTTTGTCCTGCAGCTTTTATGAAAAGAAATATATTCCAAAACTTGTCTGTCTTTACACTAGGATAGACTATTTTGCAAAATATAAGGAAAATAGAATATCCTCTGCATCTGAAGTGTAGAATTTTGTTTTCTTTTAAAATGAATTTATATGATGGTTTTGAAAATGGCCTTAATGGAACATGTTTTGATTGTTTAATCAAAAAAATTAAGCTAGTTGGGTTGTAGATGGCAACACATGTTTTAATACTGATTTCTAGCTGTAGTTAGAATAGTTACAATCAGAACATAATGTTTAAGCTCTCTTTTCCAGCAATTTGGCCCCACAGTTCCTCTTGTTCCTCACTGTCCTGAAGGACACCTTAGCCTCCCGCAGATCCAATGGCAAGTCTGAGGACTTAACATTTCCTTGTGATTTCTTAGGGAGGTAAATCACAGAATTATAGAATGGTTAGGGTTGGAAGGGACCTTAAAGATCATCTAGTTCCAACCCCCCTGCCATGGGCAGGGACACCTTGCACTAGGGCAGGTTGCTCAAAGCCACATCCAGCCTGCCCTTGAAGACAGCCAGGGATGGGGCATCCACAACATCTCTGGGCAACCTGTTCCAGTGCCTCACCACCCTCTCTGTGAAGAATTTCTTCGTGATATCTAATCTAAACCTCCCTGATTTCAATTTGTACCCGTTACCCCTTGTCCTGTCACTACAGGCTCTTGTAAAAAGTCCTCTCCCAGCACCCTTGTAGGCCCCTTCAGATACTGGAAAGCTGCAATGAGGTCTCCTCGGAGCCTGCTCTTCTCCAGGCTGAACAAGCCCAATTCTCGCAGCCTTTCATCATAGGAGAGGTGCTCCAGCCCTCTGATCATCTTCGTGGCCCTCTTCTGTACTTGCTCCAAGTGGTCAATATCCTTCTGCTATTGGGGGTTCCACAGCTGGACATTCCACATTCTACGTGGAAATTTTTCAGCTGCACGTTCTTCCCAGTACTTCACGTTGGATGTCCTCTTCATTCTGGTTGCAGCAAGTAATAACAATCAGCTGTGCTGTTGCATCATATTTTTGGAAATTAGGACAATTTTTATGAACATATGCACCCGTGAATATTAATTTGTCATAGGAAGAAATATTACAGATTCAGGATATCTCATTTTATTTGTTTTCAGAATATGAACTGTTATGGCACCAGGATCTATAAAAATTAGTGAACAGCTCACTGAGTCCAACCAGTGTACTAAATCCTATATAAACATGTAGGTAAAAAGGGCCCGCTAGTTACCCTAACACCTGAGAAGAAAGAAAAATGTGTCCTGGAGGAGTCAAAGTGTAGGTGTCGGTTTCACTTAGATGTGGGGTTGAATATTGTGGAGATGATCAGGGCTCAGTTTAAATACCTTACACCCCTACCCCCCCCTTATACTGTAGAAGCAAAGGAAGAATGGAGTTGACAAAGGTTTGTGAGTCGTTATTTTTGCTACTCCAACCCCAGTGTATGTAGGCACTTTGGAAACAGGAAGAAGAAATCCCTGCCCTGAGCAGTGTCCATCTGCTATGGGCAAGAGGCGGGGTCACTTGGGGTAGTGGTCCATGCTTGAATGCTTACTGGGAGCTTTCTGACTCAATAGAGATTTTTTTAATGCGTATTTTGGGAAAGGTGGGGCAGAGGCAGCAGCGTTTGCCAGGGCTGAAAAGTGTAGCAGGAAATAAAATCTGCCAGAAGCAGAATGGGAGCGAGTGACTTGAACCGTTGGTCGATGTCAAAGTACGTGGTGAGGTATAAAACCACTGACTGTTGTTGAAGTTCCGTTGTTCCTGAATCGGGTGAAGTTCGCCAACTACAGGCTGGATTCCAGAGAGGTGAAAGTAGTTATTTGGTAAAAAATGAAAACAAAAAACCCCACAATATCAACAATGACCTTATGTTGTTGATCTTCTAAAGAATACATATTACTAAGAAAGGCAAAGGCCCAAGTAGATATTCTCTTAATTATTGTAAATACAGGTTTAACTTCTGTTTAGCATTTGAAGTGAAATTAAAACTTCATTTTCTTGCAGGTAAGTGGAAAGAGATCAAAGAAGTAAATAATGTGAATGGAAGAAACACCCAATACATAGATTATTTAGAGCTTATTGAGTGATATGATATTAAGGCTTCTCCTGTCTACTGCCTCTTTTAACATTTTATTAATTCGATTTTCTTAAGAGTAATCAGTATGAGCTACATAGTACTCATGAAGCATTACAAATCTGATTTTTTCCAGAGGTACAAAAGTGCCACATCTGCCATACAAATGTTACCCCTATAGTAAAGTCATGCCAAATTAATTGCATTGTTATAGGTGTGATTAACAAGCAGACTTGTGGATGGCTGCTGGCCAAACACAGAAAACTATTTACTTAAATAATAAAGCATGCACATTGCCTGCCAAAATTGTGATAATCTTACCAACTTTCCCAGCGTGGTGTCACCGTGTATGATTAGCTTTGTATTTACTAGGGCACTGGAGGAACCAGAGGTCTGTAAATCTCAGTAAGACTGTATAGGAGTGAAATGGTAATTCCTGTTGACTTTTGCACCTGGTTTCATTTAAACATCTTTTAAATCCTTCTGGATATGTATCTGCATCTTTAAAGTGCTCATAATTTTAAAAGCCAGATTTGTATGACAAATGTAGGTTTTAGAAATTCCAGGTGCAAAGAGTTTTCTTAAGTTGATTATTGATGCTGAACTTGCTTCAGCTATGCTCTGAAATTTTTTTTATTTCATTGTTTTTGAGATGTAATCCTTTGTGTAGACTCCCAAGTGGTTGTGTTTGTTTAGGGAAGATAAAGAAAGCATGCGTTAATGCAGTAATATAATAACATACATAAATAACATAATGTTACTGTTTGCAAGATGCAGCCATGGTTTTGGAGACCTGGTGTATTACTGACTGAAGAAAACCTCTCTGCCTCAAAGAATTTCTGGTGACTGTGCATCATGAAAGGAGTGGAGTACAGTAAAAAGGAAGACAAAGCAGCAAAGAGCTGGCACATGCCTTTGCTCACTCCCTCAGGACGGTGATAAAGTGTTGAGAAAATTAGCAGCCCTTTTATCTCAGAGGCTGCGTGCCGCGTTGTACGTGGCCGTGAGCTGTACTCCATGTATCAGTCTGTCTTGATGAGTGGCAACTCCTTTGGGAGAGAACACAGCTGAGTGTCTTTGAGGGAGATGAGTGTGATTAAACTTGATGAACCTAACCCAGTGTGTTCTAGTGCACTGAAGAAAGATTAAAGGAGAGTTGACGATATTAGAGAAACAAATCCAAGGTAATTTATCTTCTGTTACAGTCCAAACTAGTAGTTTTGCCTTATTCCCTGGGGATTTCTGTGTGTTTCTTAGTAGAGGCTTATTTTACTAGATGTTCAGCTATGCAGAAAGCTGTTTATTTTTTCCTTTTTAGAATGGGTAGGAGATGAACTTGTAATTTATCTTGGCTTGGAACCAATGCTGATGTAGAAGAGCATGAAGTGAAGGCATCTTGTCTCTGACTCCATTGGAATACCTTGTTTCAACAGCAGTCATCAACTAGGGGAGACTTGCATTTTGTAATGTATGCCTAAATGATGCACTAGGATTGCAGTTTTGCTTGTCCTGTGTGGGAGCTGAGGGAATAACAATTTCCTGTTCTGTCCTCTGCCATCTGTGCTCCCGGCATCACCTAAACACAGTCTTGCTCTGAAGACGTTAAATGTCATTATGCTGTAGTCAGTGTCGATTGAAAAACGTGTTCTGTCTAATGAAAATCCTATCGCGATCTCAGGTCTGACTTTTCAGATTTAGAGTAACAAAGGCCAAGAAATCCAACACGTTTCTGCTCTACTGTAGAAGAGCAGAACCCCCCAAGAATGAGACAGCATACTGTAAAAAGTCTAAAAGGCACAGCTAAAAGAGCCACACCAGAGGTGTGAAGGAGACTGTGCTGAAAGTACAGAGACAGTGCTTGCCATCTGTCAGAAGGGCTTGAGAAAGGCTGAAGGCAAGTCAGCGTGGTGATTGCTGGGGCCGACAAAGCAGCATTCAGAAAGCTGGTTATGTCCAAGTGATGGAGTTCGAAAGGACCTTTAGCCTTGGCAGATTAGGAGTAAAAGCACAAGTGAGCAAGCCAAAAAGTGACTTTGAGGGGCAAGTAGTAGTGTCTGAGTAGGCGTGGAGTCTTCAGCCTGGTAGAGAGACTGTGGAGGGGAGATATGATAGAAATCTGCAAAATTGTGAGTGGCAGGGAGGGGATTGATAGCTGTTGCTTTTTTTACCATTTATTTCAACATAAAATTGAGGTGGTGTGCAATGTAACTGAAGTCTAAAACCCAAAGTAGTTCTTTGCATAAGAAACATTGGAAGACTCCCTTTGGGTTAGAGTTTACATGGGTTGAAGGAGTGACTGGATATGTTTGTAGAAGAGGGACCTTTTGGATGCTGCTAAATACATTGAAACTGCAGGAAACAACCTGAGCTGAAAATAGCAGACCATGGGACACTTGAGGGGCAATATCATACATGCCACTATACTTTAGCACTGATGTTGATGGCTGAACTTGCAGATAAAAGTGGTGACTGGTAGAAAAATGGCTGTTTATCCTGTTTTCCAGTAAGGGCCAGTTACTCTGGGAGTGACATATTTGGAACAGATGCCCTTGAGCAGCTTGATCAAACAAAAAGGCACAGAGGCAAAAATGTTAAAAAAAAAAGCGTCGTCTAATGGTTTTGTTTTCATGCTGTTTTCCCAGGAATCTCATGATCATGTTCTTTTGGATATTCCTGTCACTAGAGAGCGGATGAATCACTATCGAGCTGCAGCTGAAACTGCTCGAAGTGAACTTGCAGCACTTTTGGTGAAGTATGACTGTGCACAGTCAGAGGTACATTTAAAAATGCTTCCAAACCTTCTCCAAACCTGAGGATTCTGTACAGTCACTTTCTTTGGAGAATAGAAAGTTTACAGAAAGTCCAAAACTTTTTGCTTTTGAGACAGAACTTATCTTCAGAACTTCGAATTTCCATGAGATTTTTATTCTGCTTGCCTCTGTGTTCAAGAACTGAGAAAGAGCTTCTATTTGAAAGATTTGAAGCAGTCAAATTATCATCATATAAATGCAATCTTTTGTAATTAAACCTGAAAGTTAATATTTCTAAATTGTGGTCTTATAAAAGTTCTGATAGATGTCCTCCTGTTGCTGGTGAGTTAAGATATAACTACCCATCCTCACCGATTCCTCCACTTAATATTCAAATTACAGCTCCCCAAATTTGTTTTGCTTTCATCATCAGTGAGGTTGTGATTGAGCTGATGAGGTTGATTGGAACTAGAGAGGCTGAGGAACACACACACATCCTTTTCTGCTGTCCCTGCTGTAGGAGAAAGGATTTATTAGAGGATAATTTTTAGGGTTTCTGTATTTTCACACCTTTTTTTAACATAGGACTGAATAAGATTTATTTGAGCCAATTAAGCAATGTGGTCAGTAGTCAGTTTTAAATTGGAGTCAAATTTGCCTTTAGGAGACATGAAGTGCTTACATTTATTTGCATAGATAGATGTAGGTGTATCATTTAATAAATATTCATAAATACATAAAGTTCAACAGAAACTTGTGAACATTCATCCAGCTAGTACTTTAAACATCTGTATGTTTTATAAATGTGTATTTCTGTTGCACATTGTAAAGTACTTTGCAATATACTTGCGTAGCCCATGAACATTGAAAAAACCCTATCAATGAAATAAAATTTCTTTAATTGCGGATAGCTGGGTATAGGAAACAGCAACAACATGTAATATGGTATGAGAATGAATTGTTAACACTATCCAGTGAGAACTCCAGGAGTGAGTGTCCATCATCTAAGCTTGAATTTGACCAGTTGATTCTGAAATTACTGCAGGGGTCCCCTACCTTTAATGGGTATCCAGGATCAGTACTTCAAATTTCAATTCTAAAAAGCCATACAGAATCGCATGTTCTCATAGCAAGAATTTATTACTGGAAAAGCTGAATGGCTTCGTAGCCAGCATGACTGACTGATTTATAGATTCTTTCAGCACTGTGCTTGCAAAAGCGAAAGAATAGTGAAGAAAGCAGCTGTTTATGCTCTTGTTAATAAAGACCTTCATGACCCAGCTGAGGTCAGAGCCTTGTTCTGCTGACTGTTCTGTAGAACTCATGATATGAGATTATTCTTGCTTTTTTTGCTATTGGAACTGACCACAGAGACAATGGACGGAGGAAAAAATATCACATTTTGTAGACGGGGAGTTGAACCACAAAGAAATTTTAAGGTTGTGAATGCTTTAAGCTACCATAGCTTGGCCCAGCTGCCAAGCAAAACAATCCTATTGTGCCTTTGGCTGCTCACTTCCTTCCCCACACTGCCCCATCCCTCGTGCTGGCGCAGATGTCGGTGTAGTAGTTTTATGGTGCGTTGTATTGTTGGGGAGCTGATGCAGTTGAAAAATAAAACATCTCCTTCTGGGTTGTGTTTTAGCCAGATCAGTTTCCCAGTCTTATTTCACCCCATAGCCACCCAAGTGCTGCTGCTAGCACAAAGAAGAGGGCGGAATATGGAAATGAAGCCCATGAGCCTGGGAAAAGGCAGAGCTGCTTTTCTCAAAATCAGCGCTGCTTGGTCAGCTCTAAAGTGTCGAATAAGCCAGTGCTTGCAGGTGAAGCATAAGCTCACTAGGGACTATGCTGCTGTTGCAAGAGTGATCCTTCTACCTGACTCTTCAGCGTTAGCCTTCTCTCTCTGATGTGGCCAACTCCCCTTCCTCCTCCTCCTCTGTAGAAAGTGGATTTTTTTCTCTCAGCTGTGTCAGTTAAGTTGTTTTTGGAGGAGTCAGACAAATCCCAGAGCTAGTGCGAGGGAGAGGACAGGCGTGTGTGGCTGGGAGCAGGAGGAGCTGGACATCTCTTTTTTCAAGGCAGTTGCAGTTCAGTTGGCTCACTGAGTGTCTTGGGTTTGGTCACATTGGAAGCCTCTGGCAGAGCCATAAGTTTCCTGATGTCCTGAATTGCAGCTTAATGTCCTAAATATTTATTGCCCTAAAATGTTTGCTGCAAGTTAGAAGTTCTAGCACACATCATAAAGAGCAGTTAATGTGGCTTAATTATTTGCCTGTTAATTTTATGTAGTAAGAGATAAATGCTTCAGATTTTATCTTGCTGCTTATAATTGCAATTATCAGGAAAACTGAGATATGACTTAACACTTCTCGTGACAAAAAAATCCACTTTAAATCACTTGTTCCTTTTAACAAAATAAAACACACTGGAATTTTATGTGCCTGGTGTGTCTGGCTTAAGCTCAGTCTTTTAGAGAAAGCTGTAGTAGAAATAGTTCAATGGAAAATGGTATTTTTACTGAAAAGTGAGATGGGAAAGTAAAGACAAACAACTGAACTCCATGAACTGTTGGGAAGCTCTAGCATCACCTCTGGAACTGGTCCTTGACTTCTGGGGGTGATGTCCCTCCTCCTGTCCTTCCTTAAAAGGCTCTTATGCTGTTTCTGTGTAAAACCAGCTACACTTGATTGGATTATCAGACCAAAAAAAAAAAAAACCAATTTGCATAAACTGAGAAGAGGTTGCGTAAACCTCAACTCTCCAGAAATTTCTTTGCCTCTGAATTTGCTGCAAATCATCAAAAGGCTCCATCTGCATACAAGAGGATAATTTGCTGTTACAACTCCCCACAGCCAGAGATTATCTGTGGAACTATGCACCAGAATTGGGAGCAGGGAGTAGGCAGGCCAAAAAGAGGGAATAGTGGTGTTACTGTGTTGTAACGCAGATGCAAAAGGAAGGTGAGTTAAAGCTGCTCAGCAGAACTTAAGGGGGACCTTTCCTAAATTCTGAATTTGTAAATAAATGTATCTTCCTGTAGAGATTATCTTGAAAATTTGTGTTGCATTACACAACAGCTTTTGGTTTTACATACCCCTTTCTTCCATTGCTTTTTCCTAGTTTATGAAAATGAAGTTGTGTCTTCCCCCTCAGTCTTGATAGAAGCGTGACAGTCTTGATAGATAGTACTGATAGAAGACTGAGTCTTTTGCACAGTTCTAAAATGTGTTTCTTGTCACCTTACTAAACTTGTAGTGCAGTTATATATTTCAGCTTGGGCAAAATAATTCTTAAATAATAATTTTTAATAATTTTTTTCCTTTTCTGTCTGTAGCTTCTTGAACTCCAGTCCAGAATGGTCTGTAAAGAAGCCTCTTTTCAAGAACTGAAGGCTGAAGCTGAAAGCTACAAGGAAAACAATGCTAGACAGACGTCTCGCCTCCTGTCTTTGCAAACCCGAATTCAGGAGATGGAGGAAGAGGCATGTGTGCTTGCCACTTCTAAAACCCAGGCTGAGCTGACGGCCCAGGTGGCATTCAAGGAGAACTGGGAGCTGAAGGAGGAGCTTCAGGAGCGAAATGCCAAACTTAAGTAAGACTCATGTGACATGAGGAATAATTTTTGTTTGGGATGACAGAATGGTGCATTTGTGCAGAAAAATACATTGGTGGACAGACTTTATTGCAGATCTGAATTCTGCTATAATGCCTTGCACAACCAGTGTACCTGTGTGTGCATAAGGTATTGAAATTTGAATTTTGGTTTGAGTTGTTAGCTTATAAATGGGGTTTTGGGGATTTTCTCCTTTGGAGGAAAATTGGCGATATGCATCATCTTGGTGTAACCTCATTGTTTACAAAAAATGAGCATGGGGGCTGTTTGTCTGAACACAATAGAAACAATACGCGTTTTTCCACGTATGGCACTGAGGCAAACATGGTGCCTTCCATAGCACACTAGTGACGGGCAATACCTGCCACTACGGTCTAGTGCCCTGAGCTGCCCTTACCACGTGGCATCTTTTACAGGCATTTACCTGTTGCTCGACAGGCTGCACAGGCCATGCAGTGGTGAGTGACTCTGTTGCTGCACCACTCGGGTCTCTTCTACCCTCTTGTATCACAGCGGGAACCAGAACAGGGTCAAGTGAATTTTCCTTAGTGTAAAGCTGTCTGTTAGGAGCAGTGTAATAAAGAAAACATGGTATAATTCCTAGTTAGTGGCATCCTGAAGTGAGCATGTTAATGTTTTTTCAGCTTTCACTAATGCTAGCTTTGCCTGACTTTTCTTTGGCGTTGTTCTGGATGTTGCTCTGTGGTGGTTTTTTAAATTTTTTTTTTTTTAACGTGCATCCTGATGGTGTAAAACTTTTAATAAAACATAGTAGCCTTAACTGTACTATTCTTAACATAGTGTGTCGGAGCACTCATCTGTCAGTCCTGCATAGCTGCTGGTATTTCAGGTCTGTGGGATGGAGACTGACAGTAATATTTATCACAAATAAAACCGGTTGGTATGAAAATATTCTGAACTCTAAAATTCCAAAATCAGTGTCACCCTTAGTATATTAATAGACACATTATAGACCTTTATAATGGATTTCTTCCCATCATTACAAGGCTAATATCCATGTCTCTCTCAATATTGACTGGTTAAGAGCAAGGTGAGTGTTTACCAGATGTCTGTATTTCCCAAATCAGTATTTTGCACAGCTCTTCCAGGCTTTGTGCGTTAGAAGTGGATAATTAACTTATTTTAAAATCTAGATAAATCCATTGCAGTGCACTTGTCTATTACCAGCTGATTTGTCAAAAGCCCTGCCTGGAGAGTGCTAATGTTGATCACCAAAGATTTAAGGTGTGATCCCAATATAAGTGAGGAGGTGGTTAATCCAAGAAGTGTATTATGCATCCTAGCAACCGAGAAAACATCATAGTGTCTGAGGTGATGGTTGTTAAGATTCTTTAAAATGCTAATCTGGGGCAGGGGGGAAAAGAAAGAAGAAAAAAAGGAAGAAAAACATCCTATCTTGTTTGCCTGTCTTACTGGGAGTAAACTGCTCAAACACTGTGTATTTTGCTAGCCTATTGTTGCGGTGATTTCATCGATTTTATGTGGCATGTCTGTGCTGTCACTCCCAGTGCGGTCCTGGCTGCTCTGTTTTGCCCATGACACTTGTGTCAGTGCTTCTGTTTGTGTTGCTGAACGATGATTGGGACCTGGGACCTGCTCCGAGAGAGAAGTGAGCAAACAAAAAGCTTTAATTCCAGCTCTACCAGTCCCAGATCCAGTTTGCTGTGCACTTGGAGTGTATCACTGGAGTACTGGCGAAAGGGAATGGACAAGTGCTTAGGGACATGGTTTAGTGGTGGACCTGACAGTGCTAGGTTAATGGTTGGACTTTATGATCTTAAATGTGTTTTCTAACCAAAACGATTCCAAATGGAGGGTGAGTCTGCTCTTTTGGAAGGAACAAACATGTTGGATTGGTCGTGAATCTACAGTGTATGCGTTCACAGCTTTTCCTTCTCCTCAGATAGTCATTACATTTGCCACTTAATGCTAGTCAATGCATTGATTTAATAAACTTTAGTCACTTAGTCCGGCCATCTTGGTAGTACATGGCACATGACTAGTCCTAATTAGGTATTCAAGGAAGATTTTCACTGAAAACCACTAATAAAAGGGAAAAGTGAGCCAGTAGACTTGAAATGCACATTTACATTCTATACCTAGGGATATAGTAAAAAATGTTTAATGAATTCTGTGATTGGTTTCCAAGATGTACACCTCTTCTATTGAAAATGGTGCTTTTCTACTCAACAGGTCTATTGCCAAGGTATTTTTAGAGCCTGTGAAAAGGGTTTTTTTTCCTTTTTCCTCCCCTTCTCTTTGCTCATTAGTTCTGAAGAGCTAGCAAAACTGTGAAAGAGCTGCATTCTACTTTTTTGTACCTGATTGCTTATTTTCTGGGTGCTCACACCTTTATGGCCCTACTGGAGATAATTAGGTTATTCGTAGAATTGTTAAGTAGGTGCTTTGTACTTCAGATTGCTTATTTTTCGGAGAAGGCATGGTGCTGTGTGTGATAGGCCTTGACATTTCAGAGCCACAGAACAGTTTGTGGGGTTGGTGATCAACCTCGTACAGTAGCCTAACGTATAGGCATGCACATATGGCATGTCTGGAGCCTCACACCTTTTCACTTCTGACATACCCCTCGTCAGGACAGCTGTTTAGCAAACATCTCACTGGTCAGTTTTGCTGGGGCTGTAGAGGTGAGGAAGCTGCGAGGCACTTGTTTTCTGAGGGCCAGCACCTGCTGCAGAAGGCAGAGCTCTTTTGGCTCACTGTGTATCCTGTGCAGTAGTACATGGAATTATCCTGGTCCTGACTGGACAACGTCTTCTATTCCTCTGTTATTATTCCACTCTTTTCCATTTTGCAGAATGGATAACTGTGCTGATTTCCCTCCTAAGGCAACATCTTACATTTTTTCATGGACCACCTCTTTTGCTTAGTGATTTCTGAGCATTTAATGTACTGTGTTTGCACTTGCCATGTGTTTCCTATAGGAGTCTCATGCTGCTTTTTGAATATGGAGTGATGCTCTGTTTCCTGTTCGATTGCCAACCTAGAGAGGAAGAAATCAGAAATGGAAAAGGATGAGTCCAGAAATGACTAGCATGCCCACTTTGAAAAGTGAGAACAGTGCTATGCTCGATAAGCAGATGAGTTTCAATGAAATATTTGCTCTAGGGAGCTGATGGGTGGTATCTCATGTCTCTTTTTATTCTAGTGTTCAAACTTTTGTGAAGAGCTTGCTTTATAAAGTACCTTGTGTCTCAACTGGAAGCTCAACAGTTTTGTCCTCTTGCATTCTACCATGGGGTACCTCTCTCATGGGTGGAGCTGGTATTGGCATTACACTAATGGTTCTTTTGAGCTTTGGTTGGCTATTTTTGTTAATCCATTTCTTTGTAGATTTTCAGAAGTGGTGCTCAGCATTGCAGCGTTGTGAGCAAGATTTGAATCTATACATTTGCTACCTGTGCAGGCTCTGGCCATGCTTATTTGCTGGACTTGTCTTTGTCCCTAGCAGCGAGAGGGATGTAACCACACTTATGCCAATGAGTTAAACTGACCGCTCCGTTACTAGGTTGTTCATTCTTACAGGGGGTTTACAAACTGATGCCTGCTGTTAAGGCTGACCACAGATGTTTCATGCGGGATATATGTCAGCATGATAGGTTGACCTTTGAGAGCGATAGATTGATGACAGAAAGTTACCTCTTTTTCGTACTTTTGGGGTAGTCCCTTGATATTTTCTTTTTAAACTGATCACTTTCATGGGATAGTGTTATGCTGCAAGAAGCCTGAAGGTACGGCAGCCTCTGTTTGCTTCTGCTGGTAAACTTCCCTTTGCAGGTACTCTGGGTGTTCCATACTTCCATTAATCCGAAGGTCTTCTCTTCCCCCGGGGTTTATCATCAGCACTGTCAGCTTTGTTAGGGAGAGGGCGTGAAGTGCTTTTAGCATATTTATACTGTAATTTGATCACTTTCTTCCCCCTTACTTTTTCTAAGCCTTTGCTTGCAGCCTTCATTTCTAGTATCCCAAGGGCGGTTTATTGATGTCACCACCTTCTTGTGTTTTATTGAAATCTTGTGCTGAGAATTAGGCTGGTATCATAGAAGATTCTTTGAAGTGCTAGTCAAAAGCATCGATGAAGAAATGTGTACATGTCGGGGAACAACAGAAGTTATGGGTATTAAATAACAGAAACAGAGAATTATATGTAACTTTTTAAAATTAATTTTGTGGCATGCAGAAGCTAGCAATAATGTCTTTTGCCTAGAATTCTGTTTCAGAGGACATTCATCCTGATGTGTGTTTTATTTTTTTTTTCCCATCTGATTAGTAAATATGTGAGTGAGTGTGAAGAAAGCATGACTCAAGCTTCCAAAATCAGCAGAAAGTATGAAGAGCTCCTTACACAGCTTTCTGGATCCCTGGACACAGATGTCAGAGAAATAGAGAAACCACAGGAACATTTAATATCAAAGGTATAGACAAGACTTTCTCTATAGCGATTTAATACAAGAATATTTGCTTGTCAAAGAAATAAAGCCAGCGATGAAGACAGGAATCTTTGTGTTAAATAATGATTTGCAGATAGTACTATTATTTAAGACAGATTTTTTTTTTCATATTGGGCTGATTTTCAAAGGTGCTGAACTAGACCTCAGTGAATTCAGTCTGCTCTTATCTGCCTAAGTATTTTATCAGCCTGTAGTTCCCAAGTACAGCACTGATTAGATACTTGCTTGAAAGCTTTCCTGAAAACATTAACACTGGCAGTCACTAGGTGACATGTAAACTGTACCACTAGATCCTGACACTTATCTCAAGCTGACATACCGTTAAATAAAATCATCTGAAATAGCATACCCTAAAACAATCTTAACTAAGCCCTGTAACAAAATGCTGTAAATAACTGTGTGGTGTTTTAGAGGCATAATCATAAAGCTTTATTATTTCTCTTCCGAATACTCCTGAAGTTCCAGAAACTGAGCTTCCATTTAGGAAAGGAAAATTGTTTGTATGCTCTTTTAACCTTTATCAATGCTGCTGAAGGGCAAGTTATCCTAATTTTATGCATTTTTCTCGTGTTCTGTCTAGTCTTTGCTATCCCTATTTTTCTTCACTTGGGAGCATACTAGGTATCTGGGGAAATTCTGTTTCATTATATTAATATTATAATAAGAGTTCTGGCTAAAAGAAATACTTATTAAATTAAGATTATCCAGGTATGTATCACAGTCTTTTCTTAAAGTACTTGCCTCATAATATTGCAAGCACATTGAAAATGTAATAGATGCTCTAACAAAACTTGGCTGGTTGTCATTGGAGGTAAAAATACTTGTATTAAGCTGTAACTCTTAAATTCTTTGAGTTAAGGACATAACTGGAGTTTAAAAAAAACTCTCTGTTGGCATCTTCTGTTATTGATGCAGTAATAAATCTAGTTGGGAAATCTAATTTGTGCTGAAAACTGTGAGCATTATGAAAACTTAGCAACTCATTTTTCTTTTTGGGGTCATGGCATGCCTCTTTAGCTTCTTTTTCACATTATGGTTTTATTTGGGACAGAATTGATCTGGTTTAGTCTTAACAAATGTCTTGCCAGCAGGAGTCAGGGTACAGTTTTTACCTTATGCTTTCTTTGAAGTACCCACATTCATCTACTTCTTGGAAATAGTGTAACGTACCAAAACAGCCCTAGAATCCTCCTGGAAACGACTCCTTTTTCCAAGGTGTCGGCTGTTCAGAACAGCAGCCTGCCAGGTATTTGGCCCTGCCCTTGAATATGCTTATGAAGTAGCTGTTACTGACTCAAACCTGCCTGTGCCTAAAAAGTTTCAAGTGTAAAATGCAGCTTTCAGTTTCTCATTCCAAATGAGAGGCATAAATCTTAACAAGCCAAACTGAAATGGTCTGCTTTTCACATGAAGTTAGCTACATGATCTGTTTTCGTTTTCTGACCTGCTTCATGTCAAGCGCAGCTATCCAGTGACAGTAGCTCTCCACCTGTTTAATAGATCATAGACATTGTGTGGGAGTAAGTCTGAACCACGTTACACTAAGATGTGGGTTTCTGGTGCGAATATGGTTCTCATTTTAATTGTCTTTCTACTCTTTCTGAAAAGAAATAGTAGCCTGCAATTATAAATCTGACTTAGGGGTCACCAGAAACACTATGTCTTCATTGGGGTGATTAGGAGCAGGTATACTGGGATGAATATATGTCATTGTTGAGTGCTTTAAAAAAGTTACTGATATTTGAATTATTTTGCTAGGTCTCTGAAATATATAAAGAAAATCTGTCACTAAAAGACCAGGTTGCTGCTCTTCAAGAAGCTATCAATGTCCATGAGATGGAGTCCAAAGCTAGTAGAGAAACAATCATGAGGCTTGTTTCAGAAGTGACCAAGGAGCAGAAAAAGGCAGCAGGATACTGTGAAGACATGGAAAAACTTAGTAAGGTACATAATTACATGATGTGCATGTTTGTGTAGTTTCCAAATGTTTTCTCAAAATTTCACATTGATTTTCAATAGCGGCTGTATGAAAAAAAATGCTTTTGAAGGCTTGCTGCTGATTAGGGTCTTTCCCAAAAAGCACGTTTTTTAAGCTTATTCTCAACTTTTTTGAAAGCTTCAGAATATATTTAGATTAAACAATAACATTGTATAAAATAAATGGCATTGAGATTTGATGTCTTCTGATGATGCTTGCAAATTTATATTTTTGCTTTCTTTGTATTGTTGTAGCCTTTTCTGGGCTTAGACAAACATGTAAATAAACAGAAGTTTATAGAATTAATGAGCTTATCTGAGGCACAAGTATGGAAGAATGAAAAAATCCTCTTTTAAATAATATTTATGTGATATTACAAGTTTTCTGAGGCTTCTTTTACTCAGTTTCTTTAAAAATTCTAATGTGAAATTAGAAGTAATTGATTGGACACTAATTTATTCTTTTACTTTCTCTTCAAGAGCTGTCTTGTCTTCCAAACACACTAATTTATCTCGTTTCACTGTGTTATAAACTTGCATTTCTTAACTCTAAATACTCAGTTGCCTCATACCCCAGAAGTTGTAGGCAGTCGAATGGCTCTTTCAGGGAAGCACTGTTTTGCTGTAGGGAAGAGGCTTCTTTTACTCAGTTTCTTTAAAAATTCTAATGTGAAATTAGAAGTAATTGATTGGACACTAATTTATTCTTTTACTTTCTCTTCAAGAGCTGTCTTGTCTTCCAAACACACTAATTTATCTCGTTTCACTGTGTTATAAACTTGCATTTCTTAACTCTAAATACTCAGTTGCCTCATACCCCCAGAAGTTGTAGTTGTAGGGAACCCATAGAGGAAATCTGTGCAGCAGGAGTGATGCCAAAATGAGAAATATAAGTTAAGTTGTAAGTCAATTATTCACCAAATTTACCTAGATAGGATTTGGAAAGGAAAAGGATGTGATTTAAAGATTTGATTGCTCCAGGAGAACTCAGCATTAAGAGGTTTTGTACTTTGAAAAGGATGGATGAACAAAATGAGCTTCTGTAGCAGTTTTCCTTATTACTTTGTACGCTGAGTGATAACTGTGAAATGAGAGCAGTTTACTCAAACCATAATGAAAATTTCCTGTAGGTAATAGAGTAGTGCGGTTAGAGCTGACGGCCAGAACTTAAGAGAATAAGAGAAGCAACTTAGACTGCCAAATATGTAGCTGAGTTGTGTATGACTGAATTTGTAGAAATTTTTAACATAAAGGCAACCTTGTGCAAGTACGTTTTCAAATGTAATATAACATTTTTCCCATCCCACTGGCATTACTTTTTTCCTGAACTGAAGTCTACCGCCATACACTTTAAAGGATATAGTGTTCTGACTTGGTTGTAGGCAAAATACTCAGGAGATGAGAAATAGCTGACAGTGTGCTCTGGAGAAGAAAGAATTTGTTGTGGGGAAGATAAATGTTGAGTAACCAAGGGTCATAAATTATGCTTACTGTTGAAAATATTTCTTACCAAGCTGTGTAAAATTTTCTAAGACTCAAATGGGACTGAGAGAGAACCTGCATCAAAAACTTAAACATGTCCTTTTTGAGAACATTCTGTTCTTGTACTTCACTTCAAACACAGATGTGTGAGCAAGAGCAGAGTGTAGTTTGTTCACTAAGCCAGAATCAGATGTTTTAAACCAAGACGAGGGCTTAATTTGTGACTTGTTTTGCAAGTCCTCTCTGACTGCCAAATCATTTCAAAAGTAGAGCTAGTTGTGTGAAAAATATTTTCCTATCACCATTGTGCATATGCCAAATACATAATTTATTTAACCCATTTTACAGAAATGTCTTGCTAAATTATTAGCATTGCCTTTCAGGTGAAGTGTGTGCCGTCAGGGCTTATCTAGAGGCTGCAGATGCCTCCAGCACCACTTCAGTTTAGCGACTTAAATTTGCAGAGACTGAGTAAATCTGCTGAGAATGTTTTGTGTTTGCGAAAGTGTATTAAGAAATTCAGTGTAGAAAATAAGTAAAAAAATAAAAAAAATGCTTTAAATCCGGATATCTACAGGGGGATGTATGGCATTCCCTGTTCTCCTGATAGGTAGGTGTCTGTCATGCTTTAGCCTCAGCCAGCAACTAAGCACAATGTGGCTGCTGATCCCCACCCCCCAGGTTGGGGTAGGGGAAAGAATCGGAAAAAACATCATGGTTGAGATAAAAAGAATTTAATAGGACAGTAAAGGAAGAGGAAATAATAAAAATAATAATGATGATGATGGAATATACAAAAACAGGTGATGCACAGCACAACAGTTGCTCACCAGCCGGTGACTGATAGCCCATCCCTGAGCAGTGATTCCCCCTGGTCAACTTTCCTCAGCTCACATACTGAGCATGACATCTTATGACATGAAATGCCCCTTTGGTCAGTTTGGTCAGCTGTCCTGGCTGTGTCTCCTCCCTTCTTCTTGTAGAGAAGAAGCTGGGGTAACAGGGCAGTATGAGAAAATGAAACATCCTTGGCTTAATGTAACACTACTTGGCAACAACCAAAACATCAGTGTTATCAACGTTCTTCTCAGCACACATCCAAAACACAGCCTCATTCTAGCTACTATGAAGAAAATTAACCCCAGCCCAACCAAAACCAGCACAGTGTCTTACCAGGTTACAGGAAGAGCACCATTGGTATAAAGTTGGTGTCACTTTGTCACATGCTTGGCAACACAGTTTATGCACATGAACAGGGTTGCACATGCTGTGACATGTTCCCCTCTGAAGGGGAAATGCAGAAATCCATGCTGGTCTTGTGCCAGGAAACACACAGAGTGTGTTTCTGGACTCTCTTCTGAGCTTTAATTAATGGAATTGCCTCTAGCAGAGTTTACTCAGCACAGGCTGAGTACAAGTGACTTACTGCGTTTGCCTGAAGCTCCCAGGGCCAAACATATTTGCCATCTTCTGTATTACAGGTTGGGATGGTGGCTCACTTCCCCGGTTTTCTCTCCAAATTCTTCCCAAATGTATTGAGGCCATCACACTTTCTGTCAATCCTCTCTAGCAAACCTCAGCCACCACGCTGTTCCACGCCGCCTCTCTGCATCATTGCCAGATTTTCTTGCCAGGTAGTTCTTTGCTCTGGCTCCTTGGGATTTCTATGAATTCCCTGTCTCATCCAGGTGCCTTTCTTGATGTCCCAGGAGGAGGCAGCTATCTAATGATCAGTTCATCAGGTTGTAGATTCTGAAATTCTTGATGAAGGAAATGAAAGGAAGGTTGGTTAAGTTCAAGCAGTATTTTGACAGGTTGTAAGGTTAACACATGAGAGTGATTCAGAATGTTCTTCAGTGTGTTTGATATTCGAGTATCTGTTGCAGTTAGTTGGTTTTCATTTCAGCAGCATTAGCAAGTGAACGATAATGTTATGTGCTTCCTCGTTAGCCTCACGGCATCACAATGTCAAACAACAAACTACGGAAGCTTAATCTCGAAACTAATATAAGTAAAACCAGCAAGCCATTAAGCTGTTTTCATTGTAATGTATTGCTTTTCTTTGAGAATTCTGAACTTCTCACGTTTCTGACTGAATATGCAAGAGCTTGCTTCTAGAATTCTGTAAATATTGTAATATTGTGCATGTCTTTATTCTGGCAGTATAGAAGAAGATGCATATATTCTTCTGGATGAATTTGCCTTTCATACAGTACTGTCATTGATGAACCACAAGAACTAGTAATCTGGCTTGTTCTGTTTCACATCTTTGACGATGATTCAACATGGAAATATTTGTGTTTCCTTCTGAAGTGTTATTTTAAACATCTGTTCTGCAAAGATATGCCCCATGCAATGTGGTGGGATGGCTCCTATGGCTGGAGTATCAGAATGAAAGGATACAGACTTTTTAGGAAGGACAGGCAGAGGAGACATGGAGGGGGTGTTGCTTTCTATGTCAGAGACCAGCTGGAGTGCGTGGAACTCCTAGGGATGGATGAGGAGCTGACCAAGAGCGTATGAGATTATGGGTCAGGATTAAAGGGAGGGCAGGGAGAGGGGACACAGTAGTAGGGGTTTGCTACAGGCCAGCTGTCCAGGATGAGCAAGTGGATGAGGCCCTCTACAGACAGATAGCAACAGCCTCATGTTCACAAACCCTGGTTCTCATGGGTGACTTCAAGCACCCTGATATCTGTTGGAGGGATGGCAGCACAGAAGCAAGACAGGAGGTTCCTGGAATGTGTCGATGACAACTTCCTTCTCCAGGTGATAGAGGAGGGGTCCTGTGCTGGACCTTGTTCTCCCCAACAGGGAGGGGCTGGTGCAGAATGTGATACTCGGGGGCAGCCTTGGCTGCAGCAACCATGAAATGGTGGAGTTAGAGATCTTGGAGGGAAGAGGGGCCAAGGAAAGCTGGTGAGTATTCAAGGTTCGTGTCCTCCAAGCTCAGGAGCGATGTATCCCAGTGAAGAGGAGGTCAGGTAAAAAAGTCAGGAGGCCTGTGTGAATGAACAGTGAGCTCCTGGACAAACTGTGGAAGAAAAAAGAAACCTACAGAGGGTGAAGCAAGGACAGGTTGTCTGGGAGGATTACAGAGAAGTTGTGCATCAAGTCAGGGATTGGGTCGAGATAACTAAATGCCCTTGTAGTTAATGGTTATCTAATTAATATAAGCACTAGTACCTGGGGAGTTAGTCAGCTCACCAAGTTTGGGGAAGCCTAAGAACCTTTGGGATGCCCAGCTTCATTCAACAGCTCACATAACATCCACTGTGGAGCTAAACCCCACAACATATATTGGCTCCAAAAAATAACGTATGTGCTGGGATAATGTTGTTTTGCCCATGCAATGTCCTGCAGTTTCGCAACTTTTCAAGACAGCTGAACCTTCAGTTTTCAAGACCAAATGCTGGACAAAAATAGTTAATAGTAGATACAGCCCAGAAAGCCAACCGTATCCTGGGCTGTATCCAGAGAAGTGT